AACTGCAATAAGTTAGTTAATTAACCAATTTGCACTACAACCTGGTTTGCCTCTTACCTGTAATTATTTTTATTTAATTTAATAACTGTACAGTACTCTCTGTTTATAGTAACCATTGTCCTTAATGTAAATATGTAAGAAAAATTGTGTATGTTTCTGTTCCGTGTCATATGTACTGTTTGTTTGTATATTTGTCTTTTTGGCTGCTGTTACAACCAAATTTCCCCTTGTGGGAAAATTAAAGGATTATTCTATTCTATTCTATTCTACCTCAGAGGCATTTCAGAGGCTAACAGCAGCATCAACTGCTCTACAACTCAACTCTCACTGTCATCGGACAAATGTTTCACTCACTCATTGACTGATCTTAAACTCCTTTCACCAAGTTCTACAACCTTCTCCAGCATAAATAAATGTGGAAACATATTGACAGTTGAGGTAACAACAGAGATGAACTACAGCAGAACTACAGCAAGAGTTGTTTGTCCTACAGCGACCACCATAGCTAGGATTTTTCACTTGAACTGGGCAGCATATGAAAACAACTCAACTGATGAAGTCTGCTATCTATTGACATCTAGTGGTGAGCTGTACCTTTAAAACGTTAAATTCTGCCAGGTTCTATGTCATTAATCTCTCTGGTATGGCTTCATGAGAAAAGTAAAATGGGACACAGACACTGTGAAAATAATTAAATTCACCCAAGTTATTTTTGCTAGAAAGGTCTGTTTGGAGCTGGGAATGTTTACACCTTATTCCATTTCTTTCATATAACATAAACATGACACATGACAGTTACTGTCATTTGCATTATTGTTGTGTGTCCCTAAACTGTTGAGGCAACAAATGAAAATAAAAGTTTTCTCTACAACAATCTCAGAGAACCTTCTTTCATATTCTGCCATAAACAATTTAACTGTTCTCTCTCTTTTTGTTATTTGTGTTGTTTGATGTGTGGACTGAAAATCAATTTCCCATTGGGGGCAATGAAGTTACCACTGACTATATAATTCTAAAAAGAATAAATACACAACTTTGATATTTATGTTTAATGATTTTAAAGTGCTTACTTTTTAATAGTGAGGTTTATAATGATGATTGATTATGATAATCTGATTGTTGGGAGTTTGACCCTTGCCAGTTACCTATTAACTGTAAATATGGCTGCACTCGATTTAAGGACTGTGGTCTGACTGCCAGTCATTATATAACAAAATTATATAACAATGGTTCAACATATTATACATATGCTTTTGCAGTCGGTTTAAAAAGTCATCATTAAAAGTTATACAGAAAAAAACGGTATGCTTTTAGACAAATAAATCTTTACTTTCCGTAACATTTAACTAATGGGAGAATTACCTTCATGCGAAATCTTCACTTGGTCAGGCATCTTTTCATAAATCGCCAAATCCTGAAAAACGCCGTTTTACCGTTATGTCAACTGAGAAACACACTCTGGAGAATCATTAGGAAACAAAATCTAATTTTTCAGATATTGAGTTAACGTTTAACAGAGCCCTATAAAAGTACTGTGAAGTGGGAAAAACAGAGATAAGTTAACTATAATTCACCATTATCATCCTCGATATGTCTTTGCAGTCTTCCTTCGCAGCACGCCGTATTTTGAAATTCATGTCTACAGTAATTGCAGAGTTTCAGGGTTTTTTTTTGCCTGTTTCCAGCTCTAAAAAAAAAGCTACGCGCTAAAAAAAGAAAGAAGAAGAAGTCTGTACAGGAAGTGCCTTGATACTTCCGCCTTCAAAATAAAGGTCAAAATAATTTTGGATTTATTTATTTATTTATTTAATTATTACCGTTTTGTATGCCTTTCGATTTGGATAAGGCAATAAATCTTTATATGAGCCCCATTTTACAACAACCAACAACAAAATTTCGCACAATTAGGAGTACTTACGTGCATTTAAAATAGTACAAGTACAAAGTACAAAAATATCCGCCTGCTCCTTTTCAAACAAACCGCACACAAAGACAGTAAAAAGTAAACCTCCAAAGTAAAAGTTGCAGTAAGTGTTGAACCACATAAATGAGCAAATTGCTTAAATATGAACAAATTTCATAAGTTCGTACTTATATTTTTGTTTGTTTGTTTTTAGGGTGCTTAGTCATTTTGCTTGAATATCATTTTCAAAAAGTTAAACTACTGGTTTTTCTTGTTCTTTAGTTGACAGATATTGGATTTTTAACCTGTCAACTTATATGGCAAGTCAGAACACAACAGGCTTTATGGGGCCCTATAAAAACAAACAAACAAAAAAAAAACCCTGAAATTAAAAGTTTGTGAAAACAGCTAACGGGAGTGAGCTCCCACTATTTTTTCTATATACACTGAGCTCGCTTTAAAGGCTCAACAAAAAGGTTATGGATAACCCATGGACAATTACAACCATTCAGCCATACATGGCTTTCCAACTAAACTCAAGATGAAAACAAATGTTAACGTTCTTATTTTATTTATGGTATAGTCAAAAGCTTCAAGAAATTTAAATATTGAAATTTTTCTATTGTGATAATAGTCACCCGAAGTGACAAGTGAGCTTAGTCAAAAACATTTTTAAAAAACCGCAAAAACAAACAAAAAAAGATTATGTATATGTACACGTGAATCACAACCCTCATCACACAACACAGGAGACTAGCTGTGTGAAAGTAATAGAAAGATATGAAAAGTGTCCAGTATTTAAACTACTGTATTTGCTTGTGTATGTGGTTCAGCTCTTAAATTTGCTGAAAGAATTCCAATAGGTGCAGCTTTTACTTTGGAGGTGAACTGCCTCAACGTTTCATTTTCACTGTATTTGAAAACTTTAACAGCTGCAAAAGAATTGCTTTCACCGTTTTTACTTTCAAAGGTCTAACAAAAGTAAAACAACGCAGTTGTGGCCTCTATTTTTCTTTATTGACTTAAGCAAGGAAAAGCCTTTAAAATTCATATTTACCACAAAGTAACACTATATGTCATCTCTATAAATATTGCAGTATATAAAACAAAAGGCATTATTCTGCAGTTTTCACTTGCTGACAGAAATCATTCTGCATTCAGTGACCTTTCGCTCAACATTTCAAATGCAGGATTGTATCTTTTAAAAACTTTTTTATGGGTACTTTGAATTCAAACTAAGTTTTGTTGAGGCTGAGTCTTTTTTTGCAGGTTATTTTATAACCTTTGGGCTTAAAGCTGCCTTTCATTACACATTAGACCCATTTACACACAACAATGTAGCAGCAAACTTGATTTATACAAATTCATACATATTGTCCTCAAATTTAATGCAAGTTTGGAGTTATATATTTAAATTTCATGTGAAAATATAAAGAGTACAAAAAAAAATTGGCAAGCTGTAATTAAAATAGCCAGCTAAGTTTTTATGTGACTAGAGCAGAATCCCTCTATTGCAGCATTTCTGTTGTTTGTCCTCACTGTACTGCACCTTTTTCATTTATTGCACTGACTTGATGCCCATGTGGATTGTTTTGCAAGCTCAGATATTGGATGTTGGCAGCAATTTACAAACTCTGAGAGCCACCCATACCAAAAATGACAATACCAAAGAATCACTTAAAATGACAACACAAATGTAAAAATCACATACAGTTGAAAGATTTCATAAAAAATCATTTATTTTAGGGTAAAAAAGAAACATGAAATCAATTTGAATATAAGCTGAAACAGTGAAGATGTCACAGATTGGTCGGTTTTCATCGGGCATCAACATATTTACCTCTGGTCACATTTGCTCTCAATCAGTCAAGAGTTCAGATATTGCCCCTTCATACCACCTCAGAGGTTGCCCCATTAAGTTCAGCCCAAACAAATCTCCTTGTGTGCTCAGGTGCTCCAACTTGATAGGAATCTCCACTACTCATACAAGTCTCAGTGTGGCGACTGTGTGCTTGCTCCAGGAGACTCGGACCGTTCCAGCTTCATCCCTCCATCTAGTGAACTTGAGGAGATTGAGGTGGGTAGCACAGAGCTCTTAGTCTCCAAAGACGAAGAGGCAGACGAGGGAAGAGACACGACTATGTACTTCTGCAGAGGTCGTGAAGCTGTCAGTCCAGGGCCACTGCCAGGCTCCAGTTTTACCAAAGGCTGCAAGGTAGATGTAGCACTGGGAACAGTACTAGTTACTGGTGAAGCTGACTGTGAAGAGCTGAGAGTTATGACCTGACGATAGACAAAAAACATGCAAGCAGTTGTAGATTTTATTAGAAGGCACAATCATCAACAGCAATCTTTATTCAGTAAGTTTTGTCACCGTGTTTCCATTTTGTAACACTAAGCATTTATAAAATGTCAAATCTGGCACATTATCATGCCAATATGAAGGTCAAGTATATGAGAAAGGCTTTGTGCCTTTATGGAAAAACAGTTTATAAAGATTTCCTGTAGTGGTGGTAAAAAACTAAAATCACCTGCTGAGTTGAGGCAGCTCCTGCACTGGTTGCCATAACAATGTACTTAGTAGCTGGAGGAGATGGCTGTGATGGGGTACCAGGTCGTGGCGACATCAGTGTGAGGGAGCTTGGGACCTTAATGATGCTGGGAGTGCGAGGACCTGATGACCCACTTAGCCCGCTTTGTGAGACTGAAAGGGTGGGACGTGGCTGAAAGAAAGTGTCATTGTTCATTATTAAACGAAGGCAAACATAATAGTTGCTAATATTTACCAATAGCACTTGTAATAATCTTAATATGCCATTTTAATTTTGAATTCTCTTATTACAGATAAGTATTTTTAAATATACATTCATTTATTCAGTCAGTCTCGGCTGAAAATAAATCACGGCTGAAACTTAGAGGAGACTGAGCATTCTCTATTGTTGCCCCGAAGCTTTGGAATTATCTCCCTCTTCACATCAGGCAATCTTCTTCAGTGGTGTTCTTTAAATCCAGAATCAAAACTTATTTTCATTCCCTCACTTTTGAATTAGCGGGTAACTGACACTGTTATTTTGTTGTTAATTGTAAATTAAAAATAATAATAATTATTCATATAGTATACTTTTAGTATTTCTGCTGTACAGCACTTTGGTCGGCCGTGTGTTGTTTTTAAATTGCTATATAAATAAATGATGGTATGGTATAGGATACTTTGGTGATAACTGGGTGTAAGTTATACCTGAGTGATTGTTAATGTAGTTCTGTTGACTTGCTGAGCTTGCAGTGCTGCTTGAGTCCTGGCCTTCATTACATGGGAGCAAAGCATGGGTCCGAGATAACCATAGTCTGTGCGATACTGCTCCACGTTGTCAGGCTGAGATCGCAATTTGGCAATAACACTGGCACAATGTTTCTTTGTAAAAGGAGAAGGGAAAACAAAACACTTTAATAACAATCTCAGGGTTTATATAATCTGTTTGGACTGCTCTAGTTTACAAACTAATGTATGAGACTCAGAAAAGTGCATATATTACCAGTAGGAGGCTTTGAACATGTTCAGCTCCTATCTTATCGATATTAGAGACCACAGGTCCTTCCATCACTGCTTTGATCCGAGCACCTTCTACAGCAAGCCGAGGAATTATCAATGTCTTTATCACCTACAGAGGATAAAAGATAAAAACAGCAGGTTGGTTTCACTGCAACAGACAGAACAAGAAGAAGAGGAAACAAAACCCCACTCACATCTGCTCCCAGTTCTGCAAGTCCAGCGATGCAGCCGTACCGTGTCGTCCACTGCGTTTTATCATCCAGCCAACTCTGGAAGAAGAAAAAAAAAGTGGATTCATGTGTTTTGCTGTGTTTTCCTACTTTGTGTTTGATTGCCTGTTCTGAATCAGTCCAAAAAAGCTACAAAGCCTCCCTGTGAATCACATGAGAATTTTCAACTGTTGTGTCCTGGACTAGAGGATACATTTGTGAGGTAAAGGTTTATTATCGAACTGTTACTACGTAAGAATGCAAAGCACAAAGAAAAGCTTCAGAGCGCTTCAGTCGCAACAGGAGATTACCAAGTTCACACCTGCTTAAACAACGCTCACAAAACAGGGCCAGTAAGATTCCATCAGACTAAAGAGCAAAAGGGTAGATACACCCTTAAACAACGTTAAAATACAACTAGAGATGAGTTTGTTTGTTTTCTTACAAATTGGCAATGACATATTTAGGTATTGATTATTATTAATAATTTTAAGACATACTTGCACAACACAGCTTGATGCATACCTGCATTTTTACACTGTCATCAATTAGATTTTGAGAAAATGTGAAGCTATTTAGTTTAACTCTGACAGACAAATTAACACCGCCTACACTACACCATGTGCACTTCACAGTACTATTTGGGAAAATGAAAGAGAAAAAGAACAGAGATAAATGGAATGGTTGCTGAAAGAAGAGAATTATTTTGTCATTTTAAAAGTATTACAGCCATAATTACGAAATACATCCAGAGAGCCTGTTTAATACTTGGGTGATAGAGAGTTAAACACATTTATACTCTGCATGATTCCCTGCATCCCCCCTTTTCCACATATCCAATTTAGGGTCGCCAAGGAGACTCAAGTCTATTCCAGCCATCATAAGATGAAAGTTGGTGTTCATTCTGGACAGGACGCAAATCTATCGTAAGGATAACAGAGCAACAGACACCCATTCACACCTATAGCCAATTTATTACTGCCAATCACCCTAACTGCTCTGTGCATTTCACTAACTACCACACCACCATGATACATGCAAGATGCAGGTTTTCCTGTATGTA